GGGAGGCTGAGGCAGGAGGATCGCCTGAGCCCAGGAGTTGGAGGTTGCTGTGAGCTAGGCTGACGCCACGGCACTCGCTCTAGCCCGGGCAGAAGAGTGACACTCTGTCTCAAAAAAAAGAAAAAAAAAGAAGGGGACTGAAGTAGGAAGTTATCTGAGTGACTCAATCCCCTCTGGGAAATTAGCAGAGTCTCTACACACAATTTGGGAGAAGGAAAGTTAGGGTAAACATTTGTCAAGCAAGGCTACCTATACATAGGACCAGGGAAGAGGACTAAAGGCATTTTCCACTACCTTTTGGGTGTTAATCTGAGGCTGCAGTCACATCCCCTCTTCTCACATGCAACATTCATATTTACATACTTAGTCCATCAAATGTGGATACAGATCGATACACAGACATATCGAAACTACTTATATGCAGAAAAATTTCCATGTATGCTTAGACACACACACACACACACACACACACACACACATAAACGTGTGCATTTACAAGAAACAGACATGTGCCCGCAGATACCAAGATATACAGGGATATGTACACTAGAATTAGGAAGTCAAAATATATGTGACAGAGTTTAAGAACAGATCGGGGAAGGGCAGGGAGTTGAGGGGGTTGGATGTGGTAGAAAGTGCAGAGGTGACTGAGACAGAGACCAAGAGCACAAGAAAAGAATGCTTGGTAGAGCAGCTATGGACAGACTACTGGATTTCTCCTTGCCAAAGACAGAGGCTTCAATTATTCTCTGTGTTGTGTGTTGGCCCACTTTTCAAAGGCAAGGATTAGGTGCACAAGGCTGTCTTCAGCGAACTAACCTACCTTTGATTCCCTCTCTGTTCCCTATGTGTAAGACACTGCCAGGCATCTTCTCTTCTTTCCCTCCCTCTCTGGAATTGGGCTCCTGGCTCCATTTCTGTGGGTTATTCTGCATTTTCTGCTGCAAATACATCTGAGTACCAACGATCTTCATAAAATGTGATTTGAAGTGTTAATACAAAAATCCTTGAATATACATGTGCTTGTGCTTGCATTTTTTGATATTTTACCCAAGTGAGAATAGGCATTACATGTACAGATACAGAGAGGGCAACAGTAGAGACAATGATTCTACAGAGAAACTACTTCATCACTCAGTGTGAGGCAACCTGTGAGTAAAGAAGGAAACTATGATCTGGTACTCTCTTTTCCCAAGAAAAGGCACTTAGAATGGATATTTCCAATTTATAGCAGCATAAAATCCAACAATTTAGGGTTTACTCACTTGAAATAATGTCCCAAAGCACCCACCACTCATGTACACAATAAAACCACAATAAGAAAAACCAAACTTTAGGAGTAAGTTATTATTAATACCTGTTCCCCAAACAGGAGTTAGAGAACTATGTTGGTAACAGATCTAGAGAATAAAAACACATGCAAACTTCTATGAACCATGAAAGAATTAAAGCCAATAATGACAGGCCAGGTTGAGCATATGCACACTAGAGGCGAGCCTCCAGGTAAGGGTTCGCTTCTTCTACAGCAGTGTATGGGAAAAGTTCTCTCTTCTTGGAAGGGATGGGATAGAAAGGGGTGGAGTGACAGTGATCAGGCAGTAACAGTTCAGTTCCATGCACAATCAACCGAGGCAGGGACCAGCTGTCAAAAGGCTCCCAGCATCCAGGACCTAAAGCCCTCATTGCATGGCACAGATGCTGTGGGGCAGAAACTCCTGCACGTAGGTGGCAGCTGCCTTGGAGAGGTAGGTCATGGTGCCAAACCTGCCACTGGGTGCACTGTCATACAGGAGAGTACAGATGCCAGATGCAGGATCCTTTGCCAACATGATATCATCTGCGCCGAGGGTTTTCTGTTTGGTTTTTAAGGGTGAGAGAACACAGGGGAAAGGAAAAATTACTAATTCTACTAAGTGAAGTCCTTATTTGTATAATTCAGAGTCTCCTTCCCAAAACCAACTAGTTGGGCCCTAGGCTGTTTAGCCAGGAAGAGATCAGGGTTATGCACAAAACGGTGAATATCAGTTTCTATACATGCATTTTTCATTAGATCCCCGAATCATGCAAATTATTTTTAAATTATTGTTTAGAATTTTCCCAACTGCAATACATTTTTGAAAGTTAAATATAATAGTTAATTAAATGAGTCGTACCTGTTAAGACATAAATTTTAACACTATAAATCACCCTACTAGAACTTTGGTCTGACTCCTTCTAAGTACTACTGATTTCAACTTGTACTTTTTTATCTTGCATTTGATCATTATTGCTTTCTAAGTCAACTTAATTAAAATAGACTATAAGCATTCTGAAGCTAGAGTCCATGCCTAAAAGGGATCATATTTTCTGATACATGGACTGACAATGATCCAGAATATTTAAAATTAGAATTGTCCTAGAAAATCCTGGATATTTTTCTTTTGTGTCCCCTCACAGTGGCTAATGGAATGAAGTACCTATTATTTATTTTGGAAATTTTCCTATTGAATACAGTG